GCAAATTAGGGAGTTATATACTAACAGGGGTTTTCTAAATTTGGATTTTTCAGCAATTTAGCAGATAATACTAAATTGATACCTTCCCATACACGGGGTCACTATATTAAAGGATAGCATTAGCTCCTTTTTTATGTAATTAGTATCCTTATGGCAATCCCACGTAACGATAGCAAATTATGGAGCTATCTCCTAAATAGCTGAAAGAGCAAAATTGCTCTTTCCGCAGTTTAGCAGATAACTCCCTAAATTGGTACTTTGTGACTGTCACCTTCATTTATTTTCCATAGAATAATGGACTTCTGAATATATGAAATTAACAACATTTTCAGATGAAATTCAGATAGACAAATGGAATTTAAAATAATGAACCAAAAACCCCCCAAAAATTCACACAAGCACATCCGTAACTCACTCAGATTTTTTCAGGGTTGACAGTGGGCTTGTCCATTTTTCTGTTACAGTTCGAGGGAACTAAGGATGGAGGTTATGGTGGCTGGTGCCGCTGCATTAAGGTGGTCAGTGACCGAAGGGAGCACTGTAAGTCTCCCATCACAAATCCCACAACCTTTCAGAGCCTATTCTCCTCCAATCCAGCACTCAAGCTCCACAACCAGACTCAAGCAGGCGAACTCGCTGGCAGGAGGAGGCTGGAAAATTACTACTTCACCTCCAAGTGCTCCCACAGCCTTTAGTGCAAGGCAGGCTTCAAATGCTCAGGATCACATGGTTGAGGGTGATCTTGGTGTGCATGTGCCTTCTAGTGAGAGTGAATGTGTGTGTTAGTGAGTTTGTCTGTAGTGAGCATGTGTCTGTCAGTGAGCTTGTCAGTAATGAGCTTGTGTGCATGTGACAGTGAGCTTGTTGTAGTAAGCATCTGTGTGTATAACATTTTTTTGTCTGTAGAAAACATCTTTGTATACCAGTAAGTTTGCCTGTAGTAAACTTGTGTGTGTCAGAGAGTTTAGCTGTACTACATTTTTACTAGTGATGTCCAAGTGTGAAGTGGACAGGGCAATTGCTCCCCAGGCTGCTCTTTAACCACTTTTTACATCTAAATGCCCAAGTGAATGGCACTTTAATTCTTTATATTCAATTACCTTGTATGACTATCAACACATCTATTTTGTTTGTGTACTTGTGTCTATCGCTGAAACAAGGAAGAATTTCCCAAGAACGTGATGACGTGTCTATCGCTGATGTTAAGGCGTGGGTTGGTAAGATTGCACTATGGGCCACTAAATAGTTTTTGCCCTCCAAGCCACAAGTTGCCAACCCTTCCCTGATCATTTCTGAAATTCTTGCTTGAACACAGATAATTTGTTTAAAGATTAAAAAATTAAGGTGAACACATTTTTCCTTAAAGGGTTAATCCAAGCACCATGACCACTTTAATACTTTGAAGTGATCATGGTTCTTGAAGTGTGCATATGCAGCATTTCACTGAGAAATAATGCAAATACAGAATTCAAGAATTTTGTTGCTGGAGGCGTAACTCCCCATCTGGCAATATCTCATCTAGTATGGCTCATGCTAAGTCTAGACTTGTGCATTCAGTTTCAAACATATTGCGATTTGTCAAATCTTTAGGTGATCTTGGATTAATCCGGCATCCCAAACTCCAAAGCGCTATATGGATAAATGACTGAACAAATCAAAGGGACATTGGGCAAAACGGTTTTGTATGTTTCATGATTCTGAGTTTCGTCCGTGGAGCCAAAAAAAGATGACTGATGGATAGGGATCACTTACTTAATGAAAATTTATTCACAGCTCAAGTGATATGTTACCAATAGAGGGGAAAGAGAAGGAATTGTGCAAACATATTAATTGTTATATTTATACATTTAATGAATGTATAATATATAGAAATAAAGATTATTTTACTGCTCCTCCTATTTTTGCCTCTAATGAAAATTCGAACTTGATCTATAAACCAAATGGTATGAAAATGCTCCTATCAGAGTACAGAAAAAGTATACATATATTGCAGTAAATCGTCTAATTTTCTCGCCATTGTGGTTCGTCCAAATAATTTTTCACGGATCGATTGCATGGACGAAATTTGTCAGAATAGAAATCTCAAATAGATTAAATCCAAATGTCCCTAAACTATTATTTTTTCTGGATGAATCAATTCAGACTAACCAATTATTTCAGTATGTATTGCGTATTAGGGACTTTAATTTGTGGCTTGGTGAATGGTGTCGGGAGCAAGGATTTGGCTTTATTTCTCATGGTAGCTCTGTTTGGAATGGAGATAAGCTGTACAGAAAAGATGGTTTGCATCTTTCTCAAAAGGGAACAAATGTTCTCAGTGAGCAGTTCAGAGGTTTTGCTAGGATGTATTTAAACTAGGAGGGGGGCAAAAGGGTGATAAAACATCAATCCAATTGTCCCCCAAAACAAGGACAGAAGGTGCCTGTAGCAAGTGTGTTAAAAAATGATAAGCTTAGAGTCATGTCTACAAATGCTCGCAGTTTAGGGAATAAGATCCATGAACTTGTGGCAATAATGGCAACTGATAGTGTAGATTTAGTCGCTGTTACTGAGACATGGTATAATGAGAAAAATGACTGGGACATAGCAATACCAGGGTACTCTTTATATAGGAAAGATAGGGAAGGCAAGAAAGGGGAGGGGTGGCCTTGTATGTGAAGGATAGCATAAAATCTAGCCTAATAAAAGTTAGTGAGGCAAACATAGAGTCCGTTTGGGCTACGTTAGAATTTGGTAATCACACAGTAACTCGTGTAGGTGTGATTTATAGGCCCCCAGGACAAATTGAAGAGTTAGATAATCTACTAGTTGAGGAAATAGCTAAAATGACAATGAAGGGGGAAGTTATCATCATGGGTGACTTTAATCTTCCTGATGTAAATTGGAAAACAAAATTAGCTACTTGTGCCAGGAGCACACATATTCTAAACTCCCTACTGGGATTGTCTCTAAATCAAGTTGTTGAGGAGCCAACTCGTAAAGAGGCCATACTAGATTTAGTGTTAACAAATGGAGATTTGGTATCAGATGTTACTGTAGGTGAAAGTTTAGGATCCAGTGATCATCAGTCAGTGTGGTTTAATATAAGAACAGTGACTGAGTCACACCACACAAAAACAAAAGTTTTAGACTTTAGAAAAACAGACTTTTCTAAAATTAGAATATGGGTAGAGGCGTCATTATCAGACTGGAGCAATTTAAATGGAGTCCAAGAAAAATGGGATTATTTAAAAGTTGCTCTATTGAAGTCAACAGAAAATTGCATTAGGCTTGTCAGTAAAAGCAAAAAATTCAAGAAACCACTGTGGTACTCCGCAGATGTGGCCAAAATAGTTAAAAACAAAAAGTTAGCATTTAGGAATTATAAAAAAACCCAGAGTGAGGAAGACAAAATGATCTATAAGATTAGGCAGAAAGAGGCTAAGCAAGTTATAAGAGCTTCAAAATCACACACAGAAGAGAAAATAGCACAGTCAGTAAAAAAGGGGATAAAACATTTTTTAGATACATAAATGAGAAAAGAAAAGTAAAACAAGGATTAGTTAGATTAAAAACAAAAGAAGGAAGGTATGTAGAAGAGGATAAGGTCAGGCTGACTGCCTCAATGAATATTTTTGTTCTGTATTTACAGAAGAAAATGAAGGAAAGGGACCTCAGTTGAGAAAAAGGATAAATGAGTCATTTATTACACGTGAGTTTACAGAGGAAGAGGTTCTATTCCAACTGTCAAAAGTAAAGACAAATAAGTCAATGGGACCTGATGGAATACACCCAAAGCTATTAAAAGAGCTTAGTGGTGTACTAGCAAAACCATTAACAGATTTATTTAACCAATCATTAACAGGAGTAGTCCCAGAAGATTGGAAGTTAGCGAATGTTGTGCCCATTTACAAGAAAGGTAATAGGGAGGAGTCGGGCAACTATAGGCCAGTAAGCCTTGCTTCAGTAGTGGGGAAAGTGATGGAAACCATGTTAAAGGATAGGATTGATGAACATCTAAAAACACATGGATTTCAAGATCAGAGACAACATGGGTTTACTTCAGGGAGATCATGCCAAACTAATCTTATTGATTTTTTGATTGGGTAACTAAAACTATAGATCAGGGTGGTGCAGTAGACATTGCTTACCTAGATTTCAGTAAGGCTTTTGACACTGTTGCACATAGAAGGCTTATCAATAAACTGCAATCTTTAAGTTTGGATTCAAATATTGTTGAATGGGTAAGGCAGTGGCTGAGTAACTGGCAACAGAGGGTTGTAGTTAATGGAATATATTCGAAGCTTGGACTTGTCACCAGTGGGGTACCTCGGGGATCTGTACTTGGACCCATTCTCTTTAATATTTTTATTAGTGATATTGTAGAACGTTATGATGGTAAGGTATGTCTTTTGCTGATGATACTAAGATATGTAACAGGGTTGATGTTCCAGGAGGGATAAGCCAAATGGCAAATGATTTAGGTAAACTAGAAAAATGGTCAGAATTGTGGCAACTGACATCTAATGTGGATAAGTGCAAGATAATGCATCTTGGGCGTAAAAACCCAAGGGCAGAGTACAGAATATTTGATAGAGTCCTAACCTCAACATATGAGGAAAGGGATTTAGGGGTGATTATTTCTGATGACTTAAAGGTAGACAATGTAATAGAGCAGCAGGAAATGCTAGCAGAATGCTTGGTTGTATAGGGAGAGGTATTAGCAGTAGAAAGAGGGAAGTGCTCATGCCATTGTACAGAACACTGGTGAGACCTCACTTGGAGTATTGTACACAGTACTGGAGACCGTATCTTCAGAAGGATATTGATACCTTAGAGGGTTCAGAGAAGGGCTACTAAACTGGTTCATGGATTGCGGGATAAAACTTACCAGGAAAGGTTAAAGGATCTTAACATGTATGGCTTGGAGGAAAGACGAGACAGGGGGGATATGATAGAAACATTTAAATATATAAAGGGAATCAACACAGTAAAGGAGGAGACTATATTTTAAAGAAGAAAAACTACCACAACAAGAGGACATAGTCTTAAATTAGAGGGACAAAGGTTTAAAAATAATATCAGGAAGTATTACTTTACTGAGAGGGGAGTGGATGCATGGAATAGCCTTCCAGCTGAAGTGGTAGAGGTTAACACAGTAAAGGAGTTTAAGCATGCGTGGGATAGGCATAAGGCTATCCTAACTATAAGATAAGGCTAGGGACTAATGAAAGTTTTTAGAAAATTGGGCAGACTAGATGGACCGAATGGTTCTTATCTGCCGTCACATTCTATGTTTCTATGTATAATTTTAGTTAATTCTATGCATTTTGGGTATGCGCAAACAACAGATGATCAATGGTGGCACAGCACCCCCAGCTCTATGTTGCCCAAGTCCACATCAGTCCTCCTCCTGTGACTGTGAGTGACATCAGCAGAGGTTGATAACTCTGCAAGGACAACTTGGCCTCAGTGTAGGACTACAGGTAAATGTATCCTAATTTTCTTAATTAATTAACTTATTTTACAGGGGTGGAGGTCAGGGCCGGACTGGCCCACCAGGATACTGGGAAATTTCCCGGTGGGCCGTCGGCACCTGGGGCCGGGCAGGCAGCTGACTCTTCTGGCGGCGCAGGGGGAGCTGGCTGTTCTGTCTCTGCTCCCCCGTCCAAGACAATATGACGTCATATTCCGGCCCCGGTCTCATTAAGCGGCGCGCTGGGGCGGGGGAGCAGAGACAGAACAGCCAGCTCCCTCTGCGGCCGCCAGAAGAGCCAGCTCCCCCATGCGGCCGCCATCAGAGCTCCCCATGCGGCCGCCAGCACACAGGTAGCAATTATGTGTGTCAGTGTGAGTGTATGTGTGTGTGTCTGTGTCATTTATGTGTTTGTCTGTCATGGTGTGTCTGTCTGTGTCATGGTGTGTGTGTCTGTCTGTGTCATGGTGTGTGTGTCTGTGTCATGGTGTGTGTGTGTGTGTCTGTCTGTGTCATGCAATGTGTGTCTGTGTCATTGTGTGTGTCTGTCTGTGTCATGGTGTGTGTGTGTCTCTGTCTGTCATGGTGTGTGCGTCTGTGTCATGGTGTGTGTGTCTCTGTCTGTGTCATGGTGTGTGTGTGTGTGTCTGTGTCATGTAATGTGTGTCTGTGTCATGGTGTGTGTGTCTCTGTCTGTCATGGTGTGTGCGTCTGTCTGTGTCATTGAGTGTGTGTGTCTGTCATGTAATGTGTGTCTGTCTGTGTCACGGTCTGTTTGTGTCATGTTGTGTGTGTGTCTGTATGTTATGGTGTGTGTGTGTCTGTCTGTGTCATGTAATGTGTGTGTGTGTCTGTGTCACAGTCTCTCTGTGTCGTGGTGTGTGTGTTTCTGTCTGTGTCATGTAATGTGTTTCTGTGTCACGGTCTGTCTGTGTTATGGTGTGTGTGTGTGTCTTTTTTAAGGTGTGTGTCTGTCATGGTATGTGTGTGTGTCTGTCTGTGTCATGGTGTGTCTGTCTGTCATGGTGTGTCTGTGTTTCTGTCTGTGTCACGGTGTGTGTGTGTGTCTGTGTCACGGTCTGTCTGTGTCATGGTATGTGTGTGTGTATGTGTGTTTTTACTCACCTTGGTTTTCCCCCACGTCGTGCTGGTCTCCCCTCAACTGGCCCTGCCTCTATGGCTGAGATCATCAAGCTTGATGATCTTAGCCAATCCGCACTGACACAGGAAGCACCTCTAGTGACCGTCTGAGTGTCTGTCACTAGGAAGCAATGTAAACACTGCCTTTTCTCTAAAAAGTCAGTGTTTACATTGAAAAGCCTGCAGGGACAGGCTATAGACACCAGAGCCACTACATTAAGCTGTGTGTGTGCGTGCCTGCTAGTGAGTGGGCTTGCTTGTGTGTGTGTGTGTGCCTGCTACTGAGTGAGTTTGTGTTTTTATGTCAATGACCTTATGTATATCAGTGAGATTGTTTGTTTGTCTATGAGGTTGTGTATCAATCAGCTTGTGTCAGTGATATTGCCTGTGTCTGCATGTGAGTATGCTTACTGTATAATTAAAAAATTTACTCTGAAAGGACCAATATTTTATTTTAAATAAAATAAAATGTGACCATATATATATATATATATATATATATATATAGAAATCATCTAGGGTGGCAAGACATAGCCTTACATATTACATGCGACAATATATGGCGCAATGACTTATGGGGCTGGCATAGATTTTTTTTTTCCAGGGCTGCTTTGGAATCCCCAGTCCGGCCCTGGTGGAGGTACAATGCTAGCAAGGGTTTTATTAAAACATTTATTAACACATTAAATGTTCACTTGCTACATTAACATTCCATTTTGAGCTGCTAAATGGTTACTGTTCTGCATACAAAATATAATTGTATATACGTTACCCATTTCTAAACACTCTAATCAAAGAATAGTTTTTGTATCACAGTGAGTTTTCACTGATTCACTTTTAGTTCCTTAATCTCAGTGAGAGTGATGACAGCTTGCTCATGTCTGTTAGTCACACTTGAAGACCACACACTTGGAAGAAACATTTTAATGTTTTGTTACCAAAGGGTTTATTCAAAAATCTGTGGTCCCATGTAGAGCAAAAATTCTCCAACTGGACAATATTTCCAGGTTTGAATTTTGCACATTTGAGTTTCAATACACAAGTGACACAAACTTCTATCATGTAAATGCTTCTTCACCCGTTTTTAAGTTCTAACATAAAAGTTAATTAAACAGAGATATTATACAATGAGCGAAATATTTCTGATTTAAAGCTCTACCAGTAGGTGGTAGCAATCTCAACGTTTAGGCCAATTGTTCTTTCTGAGTTATAAACAAGTCTGAAGAATAATTAGAATATATAAAATAAAGTGAATTATCTACAAGCTTATCATTTGTCTTGCAAGCACACCCTTAGATGGCCAGATTAGGGAAAACCTGTACTTATGTGGCAATGCATAATGCGCATATATGTATGTGTGTGAATAAACATACTGATGCAATTACAATGTTAATTAAAAAGTGAATGAAAACATTTATCAAAAACCTTAATTATGGTTTTTACTGAATTTCATAGATTTCGTGTATGATTTTGAAATTTTTCATAAATGCCTTGATAGTGCATGGTACAGCATTGTTAGAGTAAACCAGCATCTCAAGACAGATATACTACACTATCATCACATGTTTATTGCTTATTACTAGGACTGCGGACAAGTTAGATTGTGTAGTTCCATTTTAATCTTAGGTTTACATATACTGCTCAATTGTATTTTTACTTTACCATTGACTCAATGCACCTCATTACCCTCATTAATGACAGTTTTGGAGAATAAACTGTATTAGCAACAATAAATAACACCTACATTTGCAATCTGTTTCCTTTCTAACTCAATTTGTGTATTAATTATTTCTAAAAATGTATTCCATACTTTAATGCTCTCCCTATTTTCCTACAGAGGCAGTAAATAGTGGTCATATTACAGCACTTGATATTGTTGCCATGAAGCCAGTACCCATTCACTATACGGGTTCCTTGGAATAAGGGTAATCAAGCAAATCCTATACAAAGCACTATGTCCTGTCTAAGGTTTTTGATCCAAAGGCTCAAGTAGCTACTAGACCTTGATTAGGTTAGGTGAATATTGTTAGGCGATACAGAGGGCATATAGCAAGCAGTGAAGCCCAATATTATCCAGGAGTTAAGATATATATTTTTTTATTATTATTATTATTTCAATCGGTTTTTATTAATAAAATTTTTAATAATAATAATACAAAACAAGCAATATGATTATGAATAAAATAATAAAAAATAGGTGAATATATTTAACAGATGTCATCCGATATATAATAATTGTAAATGCAAAAATAAATGGTGTTACTATCTTAAAATAAAATATATACAAGTAGAAAATGATATGTTTCAGACTAAATATAATGCTTATACAAAGATAAGTAAACTATATCAATGCATTAACCATCCGATCAGGAAAAGGTCAAAGTTATAGATGAAATTGACCTCTGACGTCTTTCTCCCATTGTGCCCATTCATGTCTCAATAAATGAACTGTGTCAGAAGGTGGCCTAAAACCTAATTCGCATCTCTTAGTTTCCAAGACATTTCGCATCACTTCCTGCATGGAAGGAATATCTTTCTTCTAATAACGGGGAAGAACTGAAGTAACAGAAATCAGGAGATAACCTAGAATAATTTTTTCTTTTTTAATCCTGGGCAAATTATCTGGAAATGTCTTCAGGAGACACAATTCTGGGGTCAAAAGAGGAATCTGATCATTAATGGCCTTTATTGATGTGTGAATTTCTTTCCAATAAGATTTCAATTTAGGGCAGGACCAAAAATGTGAAACCAATATATCCACATTTTCTCCAACACAGTTTTTGACAATTGCAAATTAAAAAGCTTATAATGGGACTCTAAGAGTATCATAGATGCTTCACGCTAATAGATGCTCATGCCATGCCTTTACGCTAAATTCTTTGTTCAGTTCTATTTCCTACTTTGTCATATAGTCTAATTTAGGACCAAGTTCCCCAGCAAAGTAAGCATAGCATACAGAGATAATACGTTTTCAACCAGGATCTGAATGATACATAAAGTGGAAAGATCAAACTTAGAAAAAATGTATCAGAAACATTAAAATGATTACTATTAAATCAACCATCTCTGCATGTAATGGGCAATATAAGCATCCAAACCAAATTTGGTTTGTAACTGGTCCAAAGACAAGCCTTAATAGTGATTTTGGTAGTTGGAAACATGTTTGCCACCAGCGGTTGTCGAAGAGGAGGCAGCTACAACACTTCTTTAAGTAAATGAGGAGAAATTTTAGTAGTGTCCATCTCATGCCACAGGAGACGACAATGATCCAATTAAACTTAAAGAGCTGCAGCCGCATTAGTAGCATAATGGATACAATTTGGCAAACCCATACCTCCGCTAACCCTGAGCTTTTGCAAGACAGCCAATTTGATCCTACACATTTTATTGTTCTATATAATTGTCAGAAGGGCATAGTGGACCTTTCTAAAAAAAAAAAAAAAGAGAGAGAAAGGTATGGTGAGAGGAATTGCCCTAATAAAATATAAAATTGTGGGAAGGAGTCATTTTGATGTGGATGTAGTGAGAGTAGCAGAAAAAGTTACATAATGATAGGAGAATATTGGGCTGTTAGGGAAATAGAAGCAGCAAGAAGATTTGCACAGT